TTTTTTGAGGTTTTTTTTTTTTTTTTTTTTTTTTTTTTTTGTAAATTATTACTGTTTCGTAGCAACATAAAATAAATATTGTCAACAAAATAATTTTTATTCTCTATTTTTCTGTAAACCAAACTGTTGTTTTCTGTTGCTCAAACTTTTAAATTTTTTAAATTTTCTCAACATAACAAAACCGCATAAAAGTCGTTGAATTAATCGAATAATAAGCAGAAAAATTAAACTTGCGATTTAAGGTGGTAAATCGTACTGAAATTTACAACACATTCTTTGTTTCCAAAATCTTTGGTAGTAATCGCTTCCAACCATGGTCCCATTAATTTTTCGTAACTAATGCTTCCGTTCAGATTGTCATCAAATAGGTTCCTCCCAAACTGATGCGGTTTTTCCAATTCATAGATCAGAAGATTGTCGTCTAGATCTTTTTTATCCAAATTTGCTACAGTAATAGAATTGTACGTTAAACTATGACAAAAATTTGTTCAGTTTTAGGATACACACAGTTTTTTTACAGTTCAATTGATAAACAAATTTATGAGTAAACGAAAGCTGCTTCAGTAAGATAACTGAATCCAGTTCCGTGTTTCTTTCTTTAAGAATTAATAGCAACATAGGAATCAAAAATTGTTTATTGGTGTTTCAAAAAGCTTAGCTGAGCAAATCACAATGCAATAACAGCTAAAAAACCAAAAAGTTCTTAGAAGGAAAAGAGATAATTAAGAGAAAAAAAAACAGATAAAATTGCTGCAGATTAGATTAACATCACTGATTACTGCTTCTAAACTGTAGTTAACTATGTAACTGAAAAAGAGGTACGTTTTCTTTTCAAAAAAAAACTGTTACAGAACAGCATATATCAAGCAAAAAATTCTGATGTATTCGACTTCTTTTACAATTTTATTGCCAATCTTTGCAAAATAAATAACTCAATTATTATGTAAAGTTTACGTATCTTTGAAGAGTAAAAGTGACAATTTTGGCTTTTCAAAAGTCGGAATTTGTATCTGATTCTATATGCATTTTTTTTGTCTTATAATAAAACTAATTTTTTTGCAAATTTATTAAGTTACAATAAGTGCAGCTAAAAATTAAAAATTTT